AACTCTAGAACAATTGGGCCTGAAATGACATTTACAGGACATTCTGCCCAAAATCCACTGAATATACATTCTTCTTGTCAGCTCATGGGATTTTCTCTTAAGATTGACCATATCCTAGGACACAAAGCAGATCACAGTGGATATAAGTAAAAGTAGAAATCAATCCTAACAGTAGAATAAAAGTAAAAATCAACCCTAACAGAAACTCACATTTCTACACAAAAACATGGAAATTAAATAACCTTCTGCTTAACGATTACTCATAAATGAGGAAATCAAGATAAAAATCAAAAAATTATTTGAACTTAATGACAGTGGAGATACAAGTTATCAAATTCTGTGGGACACAGCTAAAGTAGTCCTGAAAGTTTATTTCCATAAATGTCTATATCCAAAAATCAGAAAGATCACAAACAGACAACCTAATGAATCAACTCAAAGACCTGGTAAAAGAACAGACCGACCTCAAACCCAGCAGAAGGAAGAAGTGAAATTAACAATATCAAGTCAGATCTAAATGAAATTGACAACAAGGAAACTGTACAGAAGATTAATAAAACAAAAAGTTGGTTCTTTCAAAAAGTAAACAAAATTGACATGCCTTTGGCTAGACTAACAAAAAGCAGAAAAAGAGAAATCTCTAATAAGCTCCATCAGGAACAAAAAAGGAGATATTACAACTGATGCCATGGAAATACAAGATATAATCTATGAGTACTACAAAAACCTCTATGTAAACAAACTGGAAAATGAGGAGGAAATGGATAAATTTCTAGAAACCCACAGCCTCCCTAGGCTCAACCCGGAAGAAATAGATTTCCTGAACAGACCACTATCAAGTGTCGAAATAGAAACAGAAATTATAAACCTTCCTAAAACGAAAAGTCCCTGACCAGATGGTTTCCAGACCCAAATTTTACCACACCTACAAAGAACTGCTGCCTATCCTAGAAATTATTTCACAACATTGAGAAGGATGGAACCCTACCTGATTCATTTTATGAAGCCAACATCACTTTGATGCCAAAACCAGGAAAGGATGCAAGAAAGAAAGAAAACTACAGATCAGTATGCCTTATGAATATAGATGCAGAAATTTCAACAAAATCCTAGCTAACTGAATCCAGGTGCTTGTCAAGAAAATAAAAATTCATCACAGCCAAGTGGGCTTCATCCCAAGGATGCAGGGATGGTTCAATGTATGCAAATCTATAAATGTAATTTACCACATAAACAGAAGCAAAAACAAAGACCATATGATCCTTTCAATAGATGCAGAAAAAGCATTTGACAAAATTCAACACCCTTTTATGATAAGAACACTTAACAAAATAGGCATATAAGGGGCTTACCTAAAAATGATACAAGCCATATATGACAGACCCATGGTCAACATCATACTGATTGGGGAAAAATTGAAAGCATTCCCACTTAGAACTGGAACAAGGCAAGGTTGCCCACTATCTTCACTTCTATTCAACATAGTGCTGGACATCCTTGCTATAGCAATCAGACATGAGAGTGGGATTAAAGGCATCCAAATGGGGGCAGAAGAGATCAATCTCTCACTCTTTGCTAATGATATGATATTATATTTAGAAAACCCCAAAGATTCAACCAAGAGGCTCCTCAAATTGATAAATGAATTTGGTCAAGTCTCAGGATACAAAATCAATACACACAAATCAGAGGCATTCCTATATACCAATAACAGTCAAATTGAGAACCAAATCAAAGACTCAATACCCTTTACAATAGCAACAAAGAAAATAAAGTATCTAGGAATATACTTAACTAAGGAGGTAAAAGACATTACAGGGAGAACTATGAAACACTGAGGAAGGAAATAGCAGAGGAAGTAAACAGATGGAAATCTGGCAAACTGATACCTCCTGTTTTGTTTTTATTGCCTAGGATTGCTTTTGCTATATGGGGTCTTCTCAGGTTCCATATGAAGTATAAAATTATTTTTTCTATATCTGTGAAAAACGATGTTGGTATTTTAATAGGGATTGCACTGAATCTGTAGATCACTTTGGGTAGTATAAACATTTTAACAATGTTGATTCTGCCGACCCACGAGCATGGTATGGTGCAATCCCTATTAAAATACCAACATCGTTTTTCACAGATATAGAAAAAATAATTTTATACTTCATATGGAACCTGAGAAGACCCCATATAGCAAAAGCAATCCTAGGCAATAAAAACAAAACAGGAGGTATCAGTTTGCCAGATTTCAAACTATACTACAAGGCTATAGAAATTAAACCAGCTTCGTATTGGCACAAGAATAGGGACATTGACCAGTGGAACAGAACTGAGAACCCAGATATAAAACCATCCTCATATAGCCATTTAATCTTTGACAAAGCAGACAAAAACATACACTGGGGAAAAGAATCCCTATTCAATAAATGATGCTGGGAGAACTGGATAGCCACATGTAGAAGGCTGAAGCAGGATCCACACCTTTCACCTCTCACAAAAATCAACTCATGCTAGGTAATAGACTAAAACCTAAGATATGAAACTATTAGAATTCTAGAGGAGAATGTTGGAAATACTCTTCTAGACATTGGCCTAGGCAAAGAATTTATGAAGAAGACCCCTAAGGCAATCATAGCAACAACAAAAATAAATAAATGGGACCTGATCAAACTAAAAAGCTTTTGCATAGCCAAGGAAACAGTCACAAGAGCAAACAGACAACCTACAGAATGGGAGAAAATTTTTGCATGCTACGCATCCCACAGGGGAGTGATAACTAGAATCTATTTAGAATTCAGGAAAATCAGCAAGAACAAATCAAACAACCCTATCAAAAAGTGGGCAGAGGACATGAACAGAAACTTTCCAAAAGAAGACAGAATGGCCAACAAACATGAAAAATAATGGCCAACAAACATATGAAAAAATGCTCAACATCTCTAATCATCAGGGAAATGCAAATCAAAACCACAATGGAATATCAGTTACCTCCAGTGAGAATGGCCTTTATTAATAAGTCCCCAAACAATAAATATCGGCATGGATGTGGAGAGATAGGAACACTCCTACACTGTTGGTGGGACTGCAAACTAGTTCAACCTCTGTGGAAAGCAATATGGAGATACCTCAAAGTGATACAAGTGGATCTACCATTTGATCCAGCAATCCCATTACTGGGCATCTACCCAAAAGAACAAAAGTCACTATAAAAAGACACATGCACTTGAATGTTTATAGCAGCACAATTCACAATTGCAAAGATGTGGAAACAACCGAAGTGCCCATCAGTACATGAGTGGATTAATAAAATATGGTATATGTATGCCACGAAGTACTATTCAGCTATAAGAAACAATGGTGGTATAGCACCTCTTGTATTTTCTAGGATAGAGCTGGAACCCATTCTAACTAGTGAAGTATCCCAAGAATGGAAAAATAAGCACCACATGTACTCACCAGCAAATTGGTATTAACCAATCGACACCTAAGTGGACATAAAGGAATAATAACATTTATCTGGTGTCGGGCAGATGGGAGGGGGTAAGAGGGGATGGGTATTTACATACATAATGAGTGTGATGTGCACCATCTGGGAGATGGTCACACTTGAAGTTCTGACTTGAGGCGGGAGGGGAGGCAAGGGCAATATACGTAACCTTAACATTTGCACCCCCATAATGTGCTGAAATAAAAAAAACAACACAGAAGTCAGATGACTTGGCCCAAATCACTCCTTGGTTCAGAATCCAGTGACTTTCTGTCTCATTCAGGATAAACTGCCCACATGGCTGTAAGTCCCTATATGATCTTGCTGCCTCTCTGATGTTGTAGTTCACGGCTCTTCTTCTTACCTATTCTGCTTTGGCCAAAGGAGCCTTCTTGCTGTTCCCCTGTAACCAGGAGCCTTCCACTTGCAGACCTTTGTACTGGCTCTTTCTCCTGACATGAACCATCACCACCTATATATACAGGTGTCATTTCCACAGTGTCTTCAGGTCATTGCTTTAGTGTCAACTTATCCTAAAGAGCCCTCTGGACTACTTTTCCCTGTGTGCCTTTATTTTACCTTATTTCTCTCCTTAGCACTTATCCACATGGAGGTTTTTTATCATTGAGGCTTTAAAAAATCTGTCTCTCCAACTACAACTTAAGCTCCATGAAGGCAGGAACTTTGGCTTTTTTCTTCATTGTTCTTTCCCCAACATCCATCCACTGACACAGTGATGTGTGGCTAGGACCTAGATTTTCTGATTCTAAAGTCCACTGCTCTTTCCATGATTCTATGTGGTCTCTCATACATTAACCTTATTCTGCAAATGAGGTTTTTAAGTGCTTTGAGTGAGCACAGTGATTGCATTTTTAAATTTCTTTTTCCCTACCCCACCACACCCCCATAGGGTATGGGACTGTGCTATATACTGAGTGATGGGTCCCATGTGCCTAGTAAATGCTATGGCTTGACTAAATGACTTCCTGTGTGCCCTGTGGTCTGTCATCAACTTGGATCACAAACTCACTCGGGGTATACTCCACTCTTTGTAATAGACAAAAAGGTCAGGCTGATCTTACTCAACAAACAAATAGTGGCATTTGGAAACTGCAGGCAGTTTGAGTGAAAAATCATGATATTGTAGGATTCTAGTTTTCAATAAATAGCTTATTCGTACTCTGAATTTTGAACATTTCATGGAACGGTGTGACTTTCGGGGACGGAGGTGGTTAGATTGAACTTAATAGCTCCCATGTTGGCTTAAGGCTGTTTTGGTTTTTTGTTTTTGTTATTCCCCAGGATGCTGGCATTTCTGCACTTAAACACCTGAAGTTCTTAAGGGAAATATGTTCCAGATAAATTATTTTGCAAATTAAAGAGTGTCAGTGTTTGGCTTGGATCTTTCCAAAGCAACTATTAAAAGGCTCTTACGTTTTATTTTGAAAATTTTTATTCTTTCACCTACAAAGTTTCCTAAGAGACTGTAGTAAAACTGATTGTCTCTCCTTTGTTTTTACAGGTGATCTGCAACTCTTTCACCATCTGTAATGCAGAGATGCAGGAAGTTGGTGTTGGCCTATACCCCAGGTATGGTGGATAGTATTTCATTTACTGGAAGAAACAGCTTTAATTCCTACCCAAATCCCAGCTCTTCGGAGGTAGTTAGAAAGGCAAGTGCAGCAGCTGGTTCAAGAGCCAACCTGGAAACTTAGTGATAAATTACAAGAAAAATGGAAAATGTTAAGTTTAAAGAAAACAGTTTTATAACCCACATTTTATGCTGTGGTATTAAGAAAGAGGCAGATCTCAGACCTAAACTCTTGTTCTCAGGGGGCTTTTGCAGTAAGAAGTTGAGGGTTGTGGGTGCTGATTAACCATCAGGCTGCGATTTGATTACTCACTGGACCCCTGCCCTGACCCTACCCCAACCTCTTAGGCTGAAGCACGTGATTATTTCACCAGATTTGCCATGCTGCACCAGTTGGTTTCATTTCGCCTTTTGAGTTAGCATCCTCTGAGCTCTGTCCCTCAAGAGGCAGAAAACTTTCAGTGTTTGTCCCTCTGAAGTGCTGTCCCCCAGCTACCACGGAGGTGACCCTTATCACTGAGCTACTAGACTGTTTTTCTGCAAGTAGTATAGTCACTTTTACTTTCATTTTGTTTGTATGCCGTAAGGGTCCAAATACAAATTTATACTTTTTTATAATTGATTGTGAATCTGAGAATTCAGGTTTTTTTATTCTCATCAGCGTCGTTAGCTATAGATCAGGTCTATTGGTAGTGCTTCTCACAAAGCAGTAACAGAATCGTTGAGAGTGTGGGCTCTGAATTCAGACCACCTAGTTTGGAGGCAATCGCCACTTACTAGTTGTGTGTCCTTGTCCTTGGGCAAGTAATTTAATTTCTATATATCAGTCTCTTCACCTATAAATGATCTTCATAAGATTGTTACGATGATTAAATTTAATGCACATGCTCAAGTACAAGGAAGTGTTCACTCTACATAGTAAGTTAAGTGTTCACTGTAATTATTATCAATTTATGGTAGCAGTTTAAATCCATTCCATTTTCCAGATGGTAAAAAATGTACCTCCAAGGTAATAAAAAGACTGGACCATAGCTCAGAACGCATCAGGATCTAGTTAGCAAGATAACCTCAGCTCTGCATTTAAGAGGATGTACTCCTAATTATCCTTCAATGTGGATGTTCTAGCAGAGATGGCAAGTCCTCCAAAGGAGCTCAACAGACGAGGTCCTGGGTGGGAAAGGTCAGCGGTATTTGGGTTGCTGCATCCCATTATCTCAGAGATTACTTCCTTGCAGGTCACCCCCATCTTCATGTTGGCTGGTATCTAACAAGTTAACTACTTCCCTATCCCTACCCCAAAAAGGACTCAGAAAATGTTTCTATTAACAAATTCCCTGGTTAGCCTTTGTCTTGGGGAGATACACTTCATAGGAAGTGGGCAAGTGACATTTCTGTGATTGTACCCTGAGTACTCAATCCCTAGTGCAAATCCCAAACTACGGTGTCTGTTGCATGTTGCATGTATTAAATTTAGCTGTTTGATTTTATCTGCTGAGCCATTATGATCTCTCTTGTTTTTTTCTCTCCAGTATGTCTTTGCTCAATCACAGCTGTGACCCCAACTGTTCGATTGTGTTTAACGGGCCCCACCTCTTACTGCGCGCTGTCCGCGACATCGAGGTGGGAGAGGAGGTAAGGAAAGTCACACTGGCCCTGACTGGCTCCCTTTCCCATCAGAGACCCTCTCAGCATGGCCCCTCTATAGAGCCAGCTGTGCCTGAGGGGACAGCTTTCCATTGTCCTTCTGCCTGTGAGAAGATACGTAGTACAGTCACCTCTAGCCAGCAACTGATTGTTACTTCTCCCAAATTATATGTGGGCTAATTTTTTTTTGGCCACCATACTTTTATATGATGATGGTTCCGATTGTATGTGTGTGAGAGGTGTTTGTGTGTGACAGAGGGTGTGTTTTACGCACATGCATGGGACTCATTAAATCTCAGTGGCAACATCTCGGCAGCCTGTCCTTTCCCTGCCAGTGGTCAGCCTTCCGTGGGCAGGGAGGCTGGCCTAGCTTGGGAATGGGATCCCCACGGCTTATTTACTCCCAAGACCACGAATTGTGTTTTGAAGGTAATTACACTTTTTTAACTTATGTTAGTAAAGCAAACAGCTTTTACTCTTTTGGGCTATCTTTGGGCCTTTACAAACCCATCAGCATTTCTGGGTGATCATTTAAGCAAAGATGCAAAAGAAACAGAGGACAGGGAGTATGAACTCCAGCACCAAATTGGCCTTGACCCTGCCCGACAGCTTACCCAGCATCTTTTGATGAGGAGCCGTAACAGAAGGCTGAGGTCTCACAAGACAGTTGCAAATGGGCTGCTCCAGGGCTGCTGAACCTGAGCCTGCATGGGGCTTGCTCAGTTACTTCCCATGCTAAGTTCTGAGTTACAGATTTTTATGCTTTTAGAACCCAGTTTCCTTCTACCTTCCAATTTGGAAAAGTGGATATTTATTGAAGAAAAACAGTATCATAAGCTTTTATTGCATTTATGCAGCACTCAGCCAGTGAAAGCTAAACTCAGAGGTACCATATTTTATGTAGATAGGGATTTGGCTTTGACAGGACTCCCTTCAAACTGATTTTCAACTGAATGAGCCACTTCTTACACAGCCACTTTCCGAATTTCCAGTTTTTAGGGCCAGTGTCTTGCATATACTGGGATATTAAATTAATGACATGGAAAATTTAGACTTTTTTCTCAGGACCATACACAGCCTCATGGCAGGTAAGAAAGGGAACCACTATCTATTTTCAGCAGTATTAGTTTGCTGAAGAGTGGGGGCTATTGTTGATGATGACAATGTTTTAGTAAATTCAAAAAAAAAAACCCAAGTAACTTGACAAAACAAACAGAAAATATATTAGAAATTTTTGAAGTTTTCAAAAACAACAAAAACATTTCTGTATCTTGTTTTCTGGGTTTGGCTGCCAATTATTCTGCCTGGTTGGTTTTTATTTATTTGAGAAAACACATTGTCTTTTTGTGCTTATTTTACTTTTTATATCTTTATTTTTCTATATCTTGACCAATAAGCAAATCTTTCCTCTTACTTAATACAAAATATTTCTGCTCAGTGTGAGGCCCTTCAGTAGCACATATTTTCCTATGTGATACTTACCAAGGCATCTTCTCAACAAAAAAGAGGATTCTTTCTATAACTCTTTCTTATACCAGCTTAAGAAAATAAAATTTTTTCCATTCCATTATATAGGTCTTGATGAATGACATGTGCTCTAATTAGTTCTCCTTCCTGTCTCTGCCCCCTGTTTCTACCTGCCTTAATGCCTTATGCCCTTCAAGGCCCTTTGCTTTGGTTTGAATGTGTCCCCCAAACATCATATATTGGAAACTTAATCACTAGATTCTTATGTTGATAGTGTTCAGAGGTGGGGAAAGAATGCCTCCAAATTAGGTAAGATCATCAGGGTGGGGCCCCACAATGGGACTGGTGGCTTTCTAAGAAGAAGAAGAGAGACCTGAGCTGGCACACACTTGCCCTCTCACCACGCGAGGCCTCCGCTGCGTGGTGACGCAGCAAGAAGGCGCCGTGCTGGCGCCGTGCTGTGGTGTCGTGCTGCCCAGACTCTGTGAGAGGCCGTGAGGTGCGTTTCTTCTCTTTGTGAGCGGCCCAGTCTGTGGTATCCTGCTGTAACAACAGAAAGTGGACCGTGCCACCCTTTTCGGCACCATCTCTTCTATAAAGCTTTTCCTGATTTCCCACGTTAAAGGATCTTTCCCTCTGATATCCCCCTTATAGTGGTTATTAATATATCTTTGGCACGTATTCTGTCTCTTTTGGTGACTTCTGTTTTCACCTGTGAGCTTCATGAGGACAGGCAACTGTGTCATATTTCTGTGTCTCCGGCATGTTGGCTTGCACCCAGGAGGCCTTCAGTAACTCTGCGTTTAAGTGACTGTTCGGCTGGGCGCACTGTGCAGGCCAGCAGGTTTCGGGGGTGGGGGGACGCTGTTGGCATTCTGGATGGACGAGTTCTTCGTGTGGGACTGCTGAATCATTAATAAAGACTTGTGTCCCTCGTCCCTGCTCAGCTAATGCCTGTAGCCACCCCTAACACCCAAAATACATCCTGTACATTTGAAACTGACCCCTTGGGGCAGAGGTAGGGGAGAGGAGGCACCAAGAGAAAAGAAAAGGCATTTTGAGGCATTGAGTAAGTGCAGTAATTCCTCTTTGTTCAAAATGTAGCTTTATTGGCCGGGCGCTGTGGCTCACGCCTGTAATCCTAGCTCTTGGGAGGCCGAGGCGGGCGGATTGCTCAAGGTCAGGAGTTCGAAACCAGCCTGAGCAAGAGCGAGACCCCGTCTCTACTATAAATAGAAAGAAATTAATTGGCCAACTGATATATATATAAAAAATTAGCCGGGCATGGTGGCGCATGCCTGTAGTCCCAGCTACCCGGGAGGCTGAGGCAGAAGGATCACTCGAGCCCAGGAGTTTGAGGTTGCTGTGAGCCAGGCTGACGCCACGGCACTCACTCTAGCCTGGGCAACAAAGCGAGACTCTGTCTCAAAAAAAAAAAAAAAAAAATGTAGCTTTATTTAAATAGATTAAAGGACTAAATTTAGACATTTTGGTAATTTCATAGCACCGCCTTTGCATTTGGTTTACTGCTCATTAGGTCAGTCACAGTTTTAATAAGGGCTATTCGGAATGAGATGCCAGCACATGGCTCCACGAGGGAGGACGGACAGTGCCTGTAACAAGAGAGCCTCACCCGGTATTTGTGGAGTAAATGCAAGAGTCCTGTTAAAGATGAAAGAAGAGGTGGGGTAGACTCTTAGAGACATTTTTAAATTACCAGCAATCCTCAGATGTGCCCCATGGCCCCTGGAGAGAAAAGAACATGAAAGCCAACCCGTCGCAGTTTGAGATGGGTACCTTTCAAACCTCACACAGGGAGAGCAGGAAAATTGCACTAGGATCCACAGTAATAGGTGTTGCCATGGAAATTTCTTACCCTTTGTTCCTCTTTACGTAAATCCACCCTTTGGACCATCTCCCTTCAAAGTAGCACTTTTGCTAGTTTATAACACTTAGCTGTTTAAGGATTTCCATCATAATGCTGAGTTATGGGGCCTTTTTATTTTTTTGGTTTTGGTTTTTTGTCTCCTCATCCAGCCACTCCCTGTAGAGAGATTTTGCAGCACCGTGTAAGTCAGGGCCCACTTGACTAGATTGCTGATGGCAGCCCCTTCAGAGTGGCGTGAAGCTATGAAATGCATTTGATGGTCTGATAGTCTCATAAAACATGGACCAGGGAAGAAGGCTGGATAGTCCAGGCCATCCTCATGGGAACCCCCATTTAAGAGAACTTGTAGCTGTTATAAATAATGCCTTTTGCTGCCAGCTGTCTCTGGAGCCGTATCAATTGGGAGAAATATGATTTACATAAATTGAATATATCAGTATCCCTAATGTCAGTTTTAATCTAATGTGTTTGGGGATGAGGACAGTCTGTTTCTTCTCTTAGTCATCATATTTGCTAAGCCATTTAACAGATGCACTGCATGCCTACCCGATAGCAGGAGCTGGGGTAGCAGCTCTAGAAACTCTGAGGAATATGGAAATTAATAAGACCCAGTCCTGCCTTTAGGAGCTCAGGGTATAGCTGCAGAAACTGACAGAGAGCAGAAAATGATGATATTTAATAGACTATGAGGAGCACAGTGGCTTTACGGAAATGCAGAGCAGGGGCACCATGTGGTTAGTAAGGGCATGGTTGGGAAGCAGGGAAGAAGGCTTCCAGAGAAGTGACTGCTAGACTCGGAAAGGATCCAGAAAGTTAGAGTTGAGCAGAGAAAGGCATGATAGATGCAGACACAGAGGCCAGGGACAGATTGGTGAGTTCAGTGAGCAAGAAGCAGCTCTCATCAGTGGACTGGAGAATTTAGATGTGACCAGCTGATAAAGGAATGTGTAGGAACCAGAACCGGCAAACCCCTTGGGGGCCTTATTACAGAACTCAGTTCATCGTAGGAAGTGCTCAGTAAGGATTTGTGGAAGGGAGAAGGACAGGCAATGGGACATCACTGAGGGGTTTAAGCAAAGGAACTGCAGGACCAGGTTTTTCTCTGTGTAGGCAAGCTTGGGGTGATGTAGGACTCCAGGCAAGAGGTGACAATGGCAGCCTGAAGTCAGGGGGAGGTCAGGTGGTGGCATGTGATGGGGGATCTGGAGAATATATTATTTAGAAGCTAAAATTAGCAGGGTTTGTTCGACAGAGAGACAAGAATGATATTCAGCTTTGACTTTAAAATGCAGTGAGAGTTTTCAAAGTCTCTTCTCAATTCAGAGTTAGTTTTAGTAGAAAAATTTGTAACTGTGACAGTGTAATTCCAGAAATGAAAACAAGGTCTAATTTTAATTTGATCTTATTATCCACTCAGTTACAGATAATGAAAAGATGGTTTCGTGGAAAAGAGGTTCATTTTGCCTTGAGATTTTAATGTAAGCAACATATTCAAGATCGAGAAAATCTATTTCATATTACTCTAAGTTAGAAGTAATTTACTGTATTTTCTGTAAGAGCTGAACTAAAATGGCAAAGCAATGGTCAGTGGCATTAATATTTTAATGCAGTTCTGTGCCATTAAAGCATCAGCTGATCAATGACCAAGTGTCATATATATGTTCCCGCTAAATGAGCCCTCCATTTAATGAGCAGATATTCCATTACAACTGGTAAATCAATGAGTCTTTAATAAAGGTTTTTGGCTGATAAAATGGTCTTAGCTGTCATTACCAGTTAGTATTCTGGCTGTTTTTTCCAAAAATATGAATCCAAAATAGTTTTGTCATTGAGCCCCTCAGCTTTGATACAGTGTATTTTGCAAACTTCAGTGGCATAGAAGAGGCACAAAGGGAAAAATGGGTCACCTTCTCTGAGGGAACATGACAGTCCTCATTGGAAGAGGCATATCTGAGCCAAGCTGGAAGGACAAGCTCTCTCTTAACTTAGGCAGCTTCCTCCTAAGTATGGCCAGCTTAGGCAGCAGTGTCTAGACACGTGCTGGGGTGGTGGCATTGTTTCAGAGGTGTGTAACTGACAGGTCGAGGTTTAGGGAGAGAGCTTGAGACTAGAAAGGCAGATAGAAAATCTGTTGGGAAAAGCCTTACTGTGCCTTTCTTCATAGGCAGTGAGGGACCATCCAAAGTCTTCATGTAGAGAAATGACATGGTCAGATGGAAGTTTTAGGAAGATGCCTCTCAAAGCAATTTAGAGGATGAAAGGTACACTGAAGGCGGCAGGGAGTCCAGTTAGAAAGCCATTGCATAGTCCAGGTAATGCTTCCAGGCACTTACAGGATATCAAGGGAGGCTTTAAGAGTCTTTTTATGGAGGTTAAATTAAATAACTAGTCTCCTACTGCCCATTCCCTGCCTGGCATGATCACTTGTGAGTGTTGGGCCCTTATAATAAAGGCTCGAGTTAGTCAAGCACATTCTTTGGTGTGGCAGGCCTCAGAGTGGCTCCACACTGGGCACACATAATCACCCAGTAGCTACTGCCAGTTGACCTGATCTGCTGGCAGGGTCTGATGACTAAGAGCCATTGGGCTGGATTGAGAGTTGGGGTCCTAGAGTCAACCCAAGAGGGAACATGCAGATTGGCTCATTTCACTACCTCACCTCATGTAAAGAAACTGAGAAACAGAGAGCCTGACAATATAAGATTAATGTATATACTTCCCCAGACTTAACTAATAGTCTGTTTCAAAAAATGTGCTTAGGAATTGTTTGTTTGGAATTTGAAACATAGTGTTCTGTAGAAACAAGAGGAGCTTACCTGGTATAACAGCCTTTTGCACCTCAGAGGGAAGCCCTGGCTTTGGATCGTTAAGAGAAACATTCAGGGAATTAAAAGGTGGCTGTCGTGTCAGCTGAAGGAGCCCAGTTGCCGCAGAACATTGCCAGGCACGGGCTTGAGTGCTTCAGGGTTGGCGGTGCTGCAGCAGCTCCTTAGGAAGCTACCCTCTCCTACAGGACCCCCAGAAGTGTGAGAAACAGCTGCGTTATTGTAAAAAGCAAACACAAAACAAAACAAAACAAAAAACCCGTGAGGCTTGAATCAAGAGATCTGGGCGCAAATCTCAGCATTACCTGAATCCAAGACCTGTGCTGGTTTTCACTGTTCCATGATGCCTCCCCATGTGCTAGCAGGTAGTAGACATTCAGTAACATCATTGTCTACATTTCTTAAGGGGAGGAGCTCCTGCTTCTGTGTACAGAGCAGCGTATTATAGTTGCCTAACATGTGAAGAATCTGTAGAGAGCCAGGCTGTGGCTTCGGTCAGCCTGGGGATGGCCATGGTGGATTTGACAGATGGCTGGCCAGGCCAAGCTCCTCCCACCCCCCACCCCCCACCCCTACAGCTGTGGCGAGGCCTTCCCAAGCTTCATTCTCTGTCAAAGAGGATGGTGTTCTCTGACCTGCCATGATTTCAAACAAGATCATGCTTTGAAGACATGAGATCCTTTTTTTTAAGTATAAGAAAAACCACATGGAGTTTTTTGCTCTAGAGAGTTTTTGTCATCTCCTTCAGTAGATAATCCTGCCTCATTCTTCTCCTACAGTATTCCCTTCTTCTCCTACCACACACACCCCCATAATTTCCACAATTAAGAGCAAATAAAGAAGTAATTTATACAGTATGGTACAAGCTGATATATTTTACAGAAAAAGGAAAGCTAGAGAAGGGGAAGGAATTAGGTGTGCCGGGCAGGAATGGGAATTGAGTTGTTTTTGTAAATAGCGTACCCAGGTTAGACTTCAGTGAGAAAGTAAGTTTCAACTGAGACTCCAAGGAAATGAGGGCGATCCCCATAGTAGAACTGGGGGAAGGGCAGAGGCCAGTACATAGGCCTCGAGGTGGTGGGAGTGGGGGTGGAGCTGGCACGGAGGCGGGGCTGGCTGGAGCAGCAGGGATGAGGGGAGATGGGAAATGAGTCTGAGCAGGAACAGTCAGATGATGTGAAGCCGTTGCTTCTCAAACTGCCTGTGATGAAATGTGGCGGCTCATGCCCGTAATCCCAGCACTTTGGGAGGCTGAGGCAAGAGATCACTGGGGGATCACTCGAGGCCAGGAGTTCGAGACCAGCCTGGGCAACATAGCGAGACCCTGTCTGTACCAAAAATTTAAAAATTAGCCTGGCATGGTGTCACATGCCTGTTGTCCCAGCTACTTGGGGGACTGAGGCAGGAGAATCACTTGAGTCCAGGGGTTCGAGGCTAGAGTGATAGTACCTCTGCACTCCAGCCTGGGTGACATAGCAAGACCCCATCTCTAAAAATAAAAAAAGCCAGGATGATTCTGAGATTTCAGCTTAGATAACACAAAACATGAGTTACATTAACTGAGAGTGGGAAGACTCTGGCTAAGATGCAACACACTGGGGTGGGAAATCAGGAGTTTTGTTTTATATATTTTGAATTAGACTTTCAGTACATAGGAAATCTAGTTAAGTACAAAATGTTTAAACATCATGATGTTGCCTAGAGACCTATGACTTGGGCCAGGTGTGATGGCTCATGCCTCTAGTTCCAGCATTCTGGGAGGCTGAGGTGGGAGGATCACTTGAGGCCAGGAGTTTGAGACCAGCCTGGGCAATATTGTGAGACCCCATCTCAGGAAAAAAATAAAGCCAGGTGTGGTGGCATGGGTCTGTAGTCACCGCTATTCAGGAGGCTTAGGCAGGAGGATATTTTGAGCTCAGGATGAGGTTACAGTAAGCAATGATTATATGCCACTGCATTCCAGCCTGGGTGACGGAGGAGGAAGACTCAGTCTCTCTTTAAAAAAAACCCACAAAAGACCTGTGACTTAAAGTGGACTCTTAGGGCTAGAGAGTAACCCAAAGAATCCTTTAAATGTATCCTTACTTATAACCTTTCACAATCCAAAACAGAGAATATTTACTCTGTTTGAAAAGGTCTAAAGAAATCGATTTAAGAGCCTCGATCAGTGATTACACTCTGATGTTAAACTCTCCCCATTTGAAAATTATTGCACATTTTTTACAAATAGCTACAAGTAAGAGAATTTTCTCCTTTCTCCTAATTTCGAAGGTACCAAATTTGGATAACCCTAAATTCCAGGAGGCAGCGATAGAATTGGTTAGAACATAGGAGCAATCTGCCTGCATCATCTGCCACCCATTTAATTGCCAGGATTAATTTGGCTTCTCTGATTCCCAATTATTACAGAATTTATTACCAAACCTTAGTAATATCAGACACATGACAGCTCTTGGTAGTTTACTGTTTAGTGAAGAAAAGGTAAGGCACAAAAGTGTGTAGAGGTGATGGGCCCAATTCTTTAAAATAAATATATGGTATACATGTGCTTACCACATAACAAATGCTGAAAGGAAACACATTAAAATTTTACATGTGACTATTTGGGTAGAGAGACCATAAGTGGTACTTTCTTTCCCATACTTTTTGGTATACAGTAAAAACAAGTTTTGTTCTAGTAGCAATAATAATCACTGTTAGTTAAAGAAAATAAGCACAACAGCCATGTGAAATCAGTCGCCTTCTCTCTGGCCTCCCAGCTCACCATCTGCTACCTGGATATGCTGATGACCAGCGAGGAGCGCCGCAAGCAGCTGCGGGCCCAGTACTGCTTCGAGTGTGACTGTGTCCGATGCCAAACCCAGGACAAGGTACGTCGTATGGAACCAGACTGGAACACCGCCCAGGCAGTATCTCAGTGATCTTTCAGAGAACTCTGCTTTTATTTCATTAACCCCAAAGGGCATGGTAGGAAGCAGGTTAATGAAATAATGTATTGAGCGCCATAGACCTTATTTTGTGGTACTTTTGTCACTCACCACGCTGAGATTTAACCAAAGGTAAAGAATCTATGGAGCTTAGAGTCTAGTGGGAATGTAGGCACTAATCATGTAATTAAAAGAATGATGAAGGCCAGAGTGTTACTAGAGCACATAGCAAAAGGGTTGAGTTTACATTCTTGTTAATAATAGCTATTGCTTTGTAATCAACACACCAACTTGTACAAAGTTTATTTCTTTAACTTCTTTCTTTAAGGTTTATTGAGGTATAATTTATATAACAAAAATTCATCGCATTTAGTAAACCAGTTCTGTGATTTTAACATACAGTCATGAAACTGCTGTCAAATATAACATATATTAATAGAATGGTTCCATCACTCAAAAAGTTCCCTCGTATCTTTTTATAGTCAATCCTACCACTCTAACCCCAACTCCTGGTAACCACTGATCTGTTTTTCATCCATGTACTTTCTTTCCTTTTATTTTTAGTTGACACATAATAATTGTATGTATTTATGTGATACTGTGTGATATTTCGATACATGTATACACATAATGTATAATGAGCAAATTGGGTTAATTAGCATATCCATCACCTCAAGCATTCATCATTTCTTTATGTTGTAAACATTCAGAATCCTCTTTGTTAGCTTTTTGAGAATACACAGTAAATTAGGGTTAACCATATTCACCCTGCAATGCTGCAGAACACCAGACTCATTCCTCCTCTTCCCGTCCTTTCCTCTCCCTCCCAGCCTCTAATACCCACAATTCTATTCTCTATTTCCATGATCTCAATTTTTTTTTTTTTAGCTGCCACGTATGAGTGGGAAAATGTGGTATTTTTCTATGCCTGACTTATGTTGCTTAACATAATGTCCTCCAGGTCCATCCATGTTGCCATGAATGACAGGGTTTCATTCTTTCTTTATGGCTGAACAGTGTTCCATTATGTGTATATAACACATTTTCTTTATCCATTTATCTGTTGATGGCCATGTAGGCCAATTGCATATCTTAGCTGTTGTGAATAGTGCTGCAGTAAACACGGAGGTGCAGGTATCCCTTTGGTATATACTGATTTCCTATCCTTTATATAATACCCAGTAGTTGGATAGCCAGATCTTACGGTAATTCTCTTTTTAATTTTTTTAAGAAACCTCCACACTGTTTTCCATAATGGTTATACCAGTTTACATTTCCACCAAGATTATGAGTTCCCTTTTCTCCACATCCTCACCAGCAGTTGTTATTTTCTGTCTTTTTGGTATGTTATTTTAACTGTGGTAAGATGATAATATCATTGGTTTTGGTTGACATGTCCCTGGCAAAAGCTTGGCCTCCTAGGGATGTCTGCCTATATTTTATTGTTCAGAATGGTGTCACATGGCCATCCTTAGCTGTAAAGAGGCTAGGAAACTAGATTTTAGCTTTTCAGTCTTTATATAAGAGAAGTCAGGGAGAATAAGGGTATAAATGGCTTTGGGGTAGTCAGTCCACAGTGTCTGTCATATCCATGGAGACCATTTTCTTTACTTTCTTGTGCTAAAAGTTTATTTAATACTATTTTAGCCAGGGTTTTCCAGAGAAACAGAACCAGCAGGTGTGTGTGAAGAGAGATTTATTATAAGGAATTGGCTCATGTGGTTATGGAGGCTGTGAAGTCCCAGGATCTGCAGTTGGCAAGCTAAAGACCTGGTGGAGACGATGGTGTAGTTCCAGGCCCAGTCTGAAGGCCTGAGAACCTGGATAGCTAATGGTGCAAGTTCCATTCCAAAAGCTGGCAGAATTAGGCTAGGTAAGCTTAAGGCCCCTTCCACCTCTACTGTCCTGTATTTCTATGAAATGTTTCCTAGTGGAAGAGAGTAGGTTATATCCTTAGATGAGAATATAAATTTAGTTTACAATTAGCTTATCACTTATATTTTTAGGTTTCCATTTATCTGAGAATTTCCTTCTGTTTAGTGATATAAACATTCCTCTGAAATATCTGTACTGTTGATTTGCTTAGAAAAAATAATACAGAGGTAAATGCGGCTGAGTACATTTCCAAAAGATTATAAATTCAAAATTAGTTCAATCAAGATTAATTTTACTTAAGTTCCTAGATTTAAAGTTTTTAAGCTTATTTTTTTGCTTTTCTTGGAACACAGAAAATTTATCTCACTAGGTTCCTGCATCAAGAAAAATTTATGTTCCTACATCTGCATATTACTGGACTAGCATGGTATTATGTTTCAGGAAGGCAGGTGTAATAGCAAACGTAATTTGCATGTGCTATGTTGGCATTTGTAATCAGCAGTAGCTTAATTTCTGGAAGAAATAAAACTTACCAAGGGAAGTTTTGGAATGATTTGGGTTCTTTATAGCTTGCCCAAGTCAGAATCCAAGGCAACAGAAGCAGAACAGACCAAATGGAATTGTTTCCGTGAGTTTGTGACTAGCACATAGTGTGCTTCAATGGGTGACCCATGCTTTGTTGCAAAAAAGTCTATATTTACCAGCCATGTCACTTTTTCTTTCCTAAGTCCTGTTATATTTAATTCTTTCCAAACACCAGGATGTCTCTCAATCTATTCAAAGGCCCACTCCTAGATTATTCAAATAGCCCCCTCATTGTTCACCTGGGCCATAATTTCTTTCCTTTCATTCATCCCACGTACTATTTTAGAGTAAACTTTCTCAAATACCACTGTTTCCATGTTAACTTTGCTCAGAATTTGGCCAGGTGCAGTGGCTCACGCCTGTAATCCTAGCACTCCAGGAGGCCGAGGCAGTAGGATTGCTCAAGGTCAGGAGTTTGAAACCAGGCGAGACCCTATCTCACCAAAAATAGAAAAAAATTAATTGGCCAACTAAAAATATATAGAAAAAATTAGCCGGGCATGATGGCGCATGCCTGTAGAACCAGCTACTCGGGAGGCTGAGGCAGGAGGATTGCTTGATCCCAGGAGTTTGAGGTTGCTGTGAGCTAGGCTGACGGCACGGCACTGTAGCCTGGACAACAGAGTGAGAGTCTGTCTCAAAAAAAAAAAAAAAAAAGCTTTGCTCGGAATTCATCAATCATTATCTTTTTTTTTTTTTTTTGAGACAGGGTCTTGCTCTGTTGCCTGGGCTAGAGTGCAGTGGTGCACTGTACGTAGCTCACTGCGTCCTGAAACTCTTAGGCTCAGGCAATCCTCCTGCCTCAGCCTCCCAGAGTGCTAGGATTACAGGCGTGAGTCACCGCACCTGGCCACATTGCCTTTAGCATTCAGAAGAAGTTCCAAACTCTTATCTTGGCATTCAGTGTCCTCCAAATTCCTGACACCAACATCCAACGGGCCTTTGTTTCTTTACTTTTCTTTTTCAAAATTGCCAACTTCCTTTAATTATACCATTTCTGCCACCCAAAAGATTCTCAAGTAGTTTACATGCACACAAATACATATACACGTGTATGTGTGTGTATATATATGTATATATAATGCAATAGCAATAAATTTTATATTATTTCAGAATAAGAGTGACAAGAAATAAGATGAAAGCAGGTTAGCACCCATATAAAAATATAGTTAGATAGAAGTACTACTCTCAATCTTAGCCGAAGGCCAAGAAGTGATATATAACAGTTAGAAATAAATCACAAATTTACTCTAAATTTCCAGCAGCCAAAGCTAAAAGACTACTTTCAAAATTCACAGTAACCATAAGATTGAACAGGTGTGTATTCCTCAGCCAAACCTGTTTTTCCTTGTGCAAAGGCATGAGGCACCCACAAAGTACTCTTTCTTTTTTTTTTTTTTTTTTTTTTTTTTGAGACAGAGTCTCACTTTGTTGTCCAGGCTAGAGTGAGTGCCGTGGCGTCAGCCTAGCTCACAGCAACCTCAAACTCCTGGGCTTGAGTGATCCTTCTGCCTCAGCCTCCCGAGTAGCTGGGACTACAGGCATGTGCCACCATGCCCGGCTAATTTTTTCTATATATATCAGTTGGCCAATTAATTTCTTTCTATTTATAGTAGAGACGGGGTCTCGCTCTTGCTCAGGCTGGTTTTGAACTCCTGACCTTGAGCAATCCGCCCGCCTCGGCCTCCCAAGAGCTAGGATTACAGGCGTGAGCCACAGCGCCCGGCCAAAGTACTCTTTCTTACCAGACTTCCACAATGACTGGAATAGCTGATTGTACAATAGTCCTCAATGTAGCTGATTGACATAATCTCAAATTATAACTTTGAGAAGTAACAAGTACACAAGAAAGGTGAAAAAATATGTAATCTAAGATCTTATCTTTCTGATGGTTTGCATCATTCAAAGAATAACATTTACTCCCTGTAGGGGAAATCAAGGACTGGACATTCTTTAGGTAATCCTCCATTGGTATTATTTCTTGCAAACAGGCTTTTACATTTTATATTATTTTAATAATTAGTAAAGTGATACATGTATATAGCTTAAAAAGTTAAAGTACTGTAACACAGTTGAAAACATTAGTACCCTTTCCCTCTCTTGCTCCCCAGGGATAACCCAGTCAGCTCCTTGCATTTTTTTCTCATGTTTGTAAAATTACAGCTCCTTTAAGTCAAATGTTAAGGATGCTTTTTGCTGTTGGGTTGGCTTAAAGGCTAACTTTTATTTCCAGGATTTCAAATTTGTTTTTTCTTATCTCCTGATTTATATTTTATTTCTGCTTATTTTTTTTTAACTTCTCATTCACTTATAACACATGCTACTATGTTATTTGTTTGAGTATCCTAATCATACATCTTTTAAGTATTAGTTCCATAAAGTTTTATTCTACTGGAGGAAAACCATGTTCTGATTGATCTCTGTTGATTGTCTTCCTTAGCATTGCGTTTCACTTAGTGTTTTGGAATTTTGTGTAGCTGGCT